AAAAAAAAAAAAAAAAAAGGATGAAATTATTATCGTGTACAATGGAGCATGTTACATCGTTGAAACGCGTCGCCGAAACGCATGGGCGGCTTTTAAAAATTTTAATGAAATCGACGTCCGTGATATTATGTGATCCATTTTTAATTTTAATTGCATAACGTTAAGCATTAAATTGCTTACTTGTGGCGCCATTATAACGAAACGTATAATTGCAGTCGTCGCATGAACGGCCAAATGACTTCGCAAAGCTATTGTTCCGCGCGAAATACTCCGTATTTTGTTAATAGGCCGCGCTCGACTATTTATATCCCATTAAATAAACGATCTAAATTTTCTGATAGGCATAATAAAGCCTCGCCCTGGCGGAGGCTTTCGCGCGGAGATAATGGAATTGTTAGAACAGAAGCGCGCAGCGTGTCTATTGTAATAGAAATGACAACCATTGTTGTTTCCATTGTCGATGGTACCGCGCTGGTATCGTTTTGCCCGGATTATACTAAAATCATCGTCGTGAATTTCATCATTAAAGTTTATTACACACTTGAGACATATTTTAATCCGTTTCACCTTATTTTTTTCCTAATTTCAACTTACTGGAAGTATTTTAATCGAAGCGACAATTCAAAAGCTTAATTTTCTTCGTCGTCCAGTTTTCTTAAATGATTCATTCAATTATCGAATTAATTCTACAAGATAGCAGTTTTAATCATTCGCGAAGTATTGATGAAATTATTGGTATTCCATTATTAATTTACTATTATTATACGGCAAAACTGGGTGACTCTATTTTAGGATATTGTAAGATCACTTATTTTAATTTCGATTTATTGCGGATATAGAATAAATGCGGAAAGTGAGAGAGAGAGAGAGAGAGAGAGAACTATTTCATGAAGATATATAAATTCATTTCGTGCAAGATGTACAAACGATTAGCGGTTGACCGCTTGAATGTTGCAACAGCGACGAGCGTCAATTAGCGCCGCGAATCGCAAATTTCCATTGTATAAATAATAAATAGCGCGTATAAATAGCGTACAAACAGCGGTAAATCGTACGAACGACAATTCGTTCTAAATATTGACGTATGAATGCTTGGTAAACGCGCGCGATCGTTTATTTCGTATCGCGAAAAGCAAACACGGCGCTTAACGTAACGTATAAAAGGTATTCGCGCCGGTTTTCCCGCGGTTATGCAGATCGGCAGTGCGTGCGAAAAGTTCAAACGGTCGTTTTTACGGCCGTACGAATGAGCAGCTAAGTGCTCGTTGTCAAGTAATCCCCCAGGGAGTTTTTGTTTTTGACATTTCCGCGAAACTGTATACTGCGTTATCGCAACAATTTAACGGTCAAATAATACTTTGTCGGCGGATCAAGCTATAGAACCGATGGAAAAGGATTAAACGCAGAGTTTAGGTCAGGTATGGGTCGATCGATTTTTTCTACTTTGCCACATAAAATTGGATTATGAGTTCGCCTTGCGTCACGTCCGACTGCAACTAGAAATAATAGCTTGTCGTTTGTGGAGGTTGATTTGCCGACTATACGAGTGAATTATTTACGCGTTGAAGTCTCACTTCGTTAATCCCTTTCTGCGTCACACTTTGTCGCAGAATTGACCGTCTTGCTAATCGTGTATTATAATCACACTTTCGAGGTTATATCTTAATCCTATGATAACACTAAAATATATGCAAAGATGAAAATTCATGTAAGAGAATATTTCCTGCAGATTAATACTTTGTGTAGATGAATATCTTTTCTACATACTAATGTCTAAATAAAAATGTGCGATTAAAAATTCGGCCCAGTACTGGTAAATGGTACTGGCCCAGTCATTTTAGCCCAATCATTTGACAGAACCTTGGCCGTCAGTTGATAGTAGGCTAAGTTGGTTCCGTTGCAATTGCTGGCGATCCTACATGGGATATTAAAAAACCATCGCAAAGAAATTTTCTTTTTTTTACATCGGTCTAAAATAAAAAGTTTTCTACAGTTATTATATATGGCTGTTTAAAAGGAGACTTTAAAAGAAGACTTAATAAAAAGGTTCATAAATTAAAATATTCTTCCGCGTTTACGTCACATTGATAATAAATTTATTTACCGAAAGCCACAACCGCCGAAGCAATAAACGTTGCACCTCCTCGTTCACGCGAGAGAAAAGAAAGCGCGGAGCCAAATAAATCTTTCGCGCGCTCTCGGCGGTACAGGTACACGGACACTCACACGTGTTCGCATACACGTGGGGATGAGACAACATCCCGGTGGCGCGAAATTACAATCGTCGCCAAAGTCTATTCCGCGAACATTTACCCCCAGGCAGCAGATAGAGATTTATGACGCGGCCTCGGGAAATTCTCTCTCGCTGCTTTACTCCAGTGGCACCGACCTACAACGGGCGCGCCGCGCCGGCACGACCTTGGAGAACTTCGGAACAAAGTTAAACGCTCGTCCGCGGCCGTTGCACGCTTTCCGGCACAACGTGCCCGACCTCCAAGTCCACGGGAAAAGACACGAACCGCACGTGTGTGTAATGCCGGCTCCACATTGTGGAGTCGTGACCCGAGTCAAGTCTTTTCGAGAATAATACGTTTATGCATAATTAGCATAAATTTAAGATGTAGGTAAAGGAGAATTTAAAGGGCCAACGGACGCGCGTCAAATCCAATTGTTCTGAGGGAGGTGTATTTTTGTAAGAAAGTTTTTTGTCATCTCAATTTTTACGTCTTATTATCCACACATCTCATCTTTCTCTTTGAGAATTCGCGCGTTTGTTTTTTTTTCTTTTTTTTTCCTTCCTTTCTTTTTTGTGCAAAATGCTCGGGTTATTGGGCGAGCGACGTTCGTGAACTTTCGTATGAACGTAGTTTAAAGCTTGTCACGGCAAAGGGGCCATAAGAAGGAGACTAACGGCCGATCGAACAAACTTTATCGGGGCGAAACGCGACCCTCCTCCGTCATTCACGACGCTAACCTAACCCAACTTGACTTCGCTCGACCTTCCCGCCTAACCACGCTTTATGGTGTTTCGAGCGAGGGTGTGAAAAGTGTGTTTCCCCCTCCCCCTCTGTACGTCGATGAAAAGCAAATGCACTCGTTCCCGCGTCGCGGGTCGTCCGTAAATTATGACTCGTCTCTGATATGGACGTAATCGGGATGGAGTTCTACGCGAACCCAGACGCGAGTCTTTTATTTTTTTAGAGTCGGGAAATTATGGTAATTTATGAGAAATTCGAGGATTCTCCGAGCGAGAAAAAATAGCTAAGAACTTCCATCGCGGGTATTCTTTAGTGAATTACGTCTCTATGAATTGAAATAATTTCCGTCATTCAAACGTTATCGCGAAACTGTTGCTGTTTTTGAAAATTTTTGCTACTATATATAATCTGTTAATACGGCTGGGGTGATATCAGAATTGGTAATACCGGGTATTGGTTTCAGGGATTTAATTTTTTTTCAGTATGAAAAAAATATGTAAAGAATATAAATTTTTAAAACATCTGATAATGCCGTTAAAAGTAGAAATAAAATACCGAAATGTATACGTCATAAATATTAACATCAATGCAAATATTTTTCTGTAATATGGAACCATTGTTTCCGCAAATAATTTACGTATATATATTTTTACTGTAGTATATTTTTATTAATGGATATCTCTGAACCGCGTGCAACTTGATACATAATCGATGTGCAATATGTGAAATCTGAAGATAATATTTCCAATCTACAAACCGAAAATATCCGAATAATTAATTTCAGTATGATCTCGTTTAGTATCACAAATTAATCACGTTACTGATATTCGCTGACAGTTATAGGAAATATTAGCTGCAGTTCTCCATAAATCTCAGCGCTCTCTCTATAAATTTGTATATCTCTAGTTATCATGTACGATATAACTATCTGAAATACATCTTTTATGCGACAGCCGGAAAAAAAAAATAGTTTTCTTTGAGAAGAAAGAGAAATTTATAGTTTTCAATTAGTTTCTTCCAAACAGTAGACGTTAAATCGTCACGTCGTAGACTAAATGGACTTCCAAAGATGTCTGCAACAAGTATTTCTCAGCGTGATTTCTCAAGTTTCATTATGTTGCGACGAAACAGTCAAAACTCCGGACCTCCGAATTGTGTTAACTTTCCGAACTTTCGGACTTGAAGGCCATCGCAGTATGTTCTCCTTAACTTTGCATTATAGAATTCCGGACATCAGAGAGAACGCAACAGGATCTTACTTTTCGCATTTTTCTTTCCACCCGTTCCTACTTCTTTCTCCAGAGGTCTCGTTCTCGGTTACGAAAGGCGCGACGAACAACACTCTTGGGGAAGAAATATTGCCCTTGATATTTTTCTAATGCGCGGAGACTCGACCTTCTTCCCTCCTTCGTTTCCACAGACAACGGTAACGATGCGCGAGGGAACCGCGGGGATTTCGGCTATCATTTATAGCGCGAAATGTACGGTTTATTATCTAAATGGCTGTTAACTCGTTGCGCGGATCGCTCGTAGTCAAGTAAGATTTTTGTAACAGCGGTAAAATAAATTATCGCGACTTTTCCCTCGACACTTCCGTCATCCCTTCCATCGTTTCTTCCGAGTCTCTTTGTCAGATAAGGTAATGGTTTTCGCTAGATGTTCATTACGCGAAATAATTAGAAATAGTGCGTCT